CACACACACACATACGCACACACACACACACACATACGCACACACACACACACCATCACACACACAATGCTGCCTTCATCACCTGGGCTGGTTCACTGCCATTCTAACACGTCTCCTCCCCTTTTGTCTTCCACTCACATCCTTGCCTGCCCTCTTGTCTTACACACACACACACACACGCACACACGCACACACACACACACTGCCACGCTCAATCACCAAACCAACTTGCAGAGCCGCGTGTCACGTTCCACGCCCTTGGATATGAGATCAGCCATGAAGGAGGTCGACCAGCCGAGATAACCTGCGGGAGCTCACAACCTTCCCTCCTGCTCCGGCCGTCAATTCCAACGCAACCAGGAGCACACCACCGCAGTGCAGTGATGCCCTTTGCGTTTTTGTTTTTGCTTCTGCCTGCTCTGCACCTGCCTGCGTCATGCATACTGAACCTCATTGTATCCTGTATGTCGTAGCTGAACGTGTTCTCTTGTCAATACACGCACACCATTCATGCTTGATACCATCCAGTGTTCCAGTGGCTTTGGTTATCCCAGTGTATTCAGGCAACAACACTGACCAGCAGTGAAGCGTCAACTTCCCCATCATACAACAACAACAACACCCTCACCCCCCCACACACACACAGACAAACAACTCACACAAGCGGCACATCACCACTGCACGTGCACCGCTGTGGGCGCTCCATGGGAAATGATGGTTAGCGGCTGCCGGCCACCAACGCCACCACCACCACCAGAGATGCATATTGCCGCCGCACCAGTGCTCACCCCAACCGAAAACTGCGATGATGCTGCCATGTGTGCAGCTGCCAAACCCGCGCCATCATCCACGAAAGGCGTTGCCGTTGCCGTTGAAGGTCTCGGCGCAGCTGTTACGCCGTGGGCGCTGGTGTGCGCGTCTGCAACTGCTCCCGCTGCTGCCCCTGTTGCTGCTGAAGTGTTGTGTGGGCGTGCGATGGTTGCGATGCTGGTGGTTGTGTCATACTGCCATCCACTCGCGGCCGCGGTCGCGAATATGTCCAGGAACACGTGGAACGGTAGCACGTCGAAGCTGTGTTGTGCATCAAGGAACGTGAGCTGTGCATTCTGCTTGCACCGGCGCAGTGTCAAATACGGCAGCAGTGACGTGCGCGCGCACTCCTTCTCCAATGCCTCCAGATATCGCCAGATGTTGAGGCGATCCGAGCACACCTCCATACCATACAGGCGGTACAGCTGCTCTGCTGGGCCCGTCACGGACTCTGGGATAATCAGGCTTGCCATGATCTCTTTGGCACTGCCACTGCTGGCGTCACGCACTGCTGTTTCGCTTGATGCAGCTTTCGCTGCCTTTGCTGCTTTGGATGCTGTCGCTGCTGGCTTCTTTGCGTTTGTCTTCTTGTTGCTGCTCTTCGAATCTGCGGCTGCCTTGGCCTTGGCCTTGGTCTTCTTTCTGGCGCCCGGTTTGCCTTGATACCGTTGCGCTGCGGCCTCGAGGATGGCGGTTGCTGGGGCGTGGGCAGCCGTTGCCAGCGAGTGCCAATCTGCTGAGCGCAGGGCGCAGTATGGCTGGCGGCGGTTGCGTTTGAACACCAGCAGCGGCAGCACGTCCTCACGCTCCAAATGGGCGTGCCGCAGAGTCTGGTTCATGCACCGCCAGAACTGGAGCGTCTCTGTGTTTTTGCATTCGATAGCAAAGGGAAACAGGCCCTGCGCCTCTCGGGAAAGCAGGAGATCTGCGCCGTTTCGGCCCATGGGCGTGCTGATGATGTCACGTGCTGCAACCGCAGGGATGGCGTCCACCAGCATGGCCTGCACCTCGCTCTGGAACCGTGCGCCCTTTGCCTTGGCGCTGCGAATGTTTCGTGCCATCTCAGCCTCTGTTTCTGTGTGTGTGTGTGCGTGTGTGCGTGCGTGTGTGTGTGTGAGTGTGTGTGTGCTGTACGTGTTTGAACGGGTGAGTGTGTGTGAATGCCAGGTTGTACGTGTGTGTGCACGTGTGCGTGCGTGTCAAACGTGTAGGATGCAGTGTTCAGAAGTGTAAAATGAATGAAAAGTACTCCAACCATTCGCATCCATAGCCATGCATGCGTCGCATCTCGCATCTCGCACACAAGAGCGGATCTGCGCCCTCACCGGAGTGCACTACCTCACGTCAACTCACTCGCCGTGTTCCGCTCCGTCGAAATTTACTCGAAATCATTCATTAATCGTCACAACTTCACCCACCGCGCAGAAGAACAGACGCACAAACAGACAGCCACCTGCCGCAGACAGCCTGCCCTCTTCCCATCCCCACTCGCCGTCTCACGTTGACTGTCGAAGCGCGGGCGCCATGGATGCTGCGGCGTACACGCCTGAGGTGGTCAAGTCGTTGCAGATTGCCAAGGTGTTCGACGACTCCACCAAGGTGATCAATGCCATTGATTTCTCCGACAACGGCGAGCAGCTCGTCACCTCCGGCAACGACAACGAAATCCACGTCTACAATGTTCTGGAAGCACAGTGAGTCTCGCGCGTGGTCTGTGTTTGGTGGGGAATGAACAACAACCCCCGATACGGTCTTCAAAGGAGAAACAAGGCGTCTGTGTGTGTGTGAGCTGCGTGTTACGTGTGGGGTAGGGAAGAATGGAGCACGCGCTGAACAAGCAGCCGTGGCTGTTGGTTTTGGCGCGCACGTCACTGCTGTGCACACATACACACGCACAACCTCACCCACACATTCACACACGCACACGCACATACACACACACACACACATCCACACCACACACGCACACGCGCGCACATACACACATTCACACACGCACACGCACACACACACACACACACCACACACGCACACCACACACACACACACACACACACACACACACACACACACACACACACACACACACACAATAGACGAACAAAGAAAGTGCCGTCGCAAAAATACGGCTGCAGCCATGTGCGCTTCACACACTCGTCCATGTGCATCCTGCACGCGTCAACACAAAAGAACAGTGAGTGTGCTTGTGCTCGCCTTTGCTGCTCGCTGCATGTTCTTTACTTCTTCTTCCAAGTCCCCGCTGCCTCTACCCTTCTCATTTGTGTGCCTCTGCCAATTATTACCAGACGATGTTCGCTACCTATCTCTGCACGACTCAAAGTACCTTCGCTACTTCAAAGGACACACAGACCGGTGCGATGGTTGTTGGTGTTCAGTGCCCTACATCTTGTTGCCGTGAGCTTGCTGCACACACATGCAAGCATGAAGAAAGCCACCACACACACACCTAGACTCATCACCACTCATCGCACCCTTATCACCCACTCATCACTCATCATACAGGGTGACGAACATTGATATGAACCCAACGACAGATGCCTTTCTCACCACGTCAGACGACTGCACCATGCGTCTGTGGGACTTGAGATCAGACCACTGCCAGGTGAGACAACGCGAACACCTTGTTGGTCGACACAGCATTGTATTATGTGTGACTCGTTGGCCCCACTCACACAAACTTCTTCGCACTACCACAAATACACGAGTACATTTACTCCCGCCCTCTCAAGCACACGCATACACACACATACACACATATACACACGCATACACACACGCATACACACGCACACACTCACCGTCGTTCTTGCGTGCGTGCGCTGTGTCCATAGGGATGTTTGAAGACGGACAAGCCTTCTGTCGCGTGCTTTGACAGCACGGGTCTGGTGATGGCTGTTGGCGTGAACGGTTCAAGCATCAACCTCTACGATGCAAGGAAATACGAAAAGGTGGGCATGCCGCAGGGGCATGTGTGTGTGTGTCTGTGTGTGTGCCTATGTGTGTGTGTGTGTGTGTGCCTCTGTGTGTGCCTCTGTGTGTGCCTCTGTGCCTCTGTGCAGCCTTCTGTGTCAAGGTGGTGGATGGCGAGACTGCACACCCCCCCCCTCCTCGCCTGTCCTCAGTCCTTCCCTCCCTCCGTCCTTCTCCTTCCCTCCGTTATGCGCGCCTCTGCACTCACCCCGCACTGCTCATCTCTCTTTTCTTTGCTCCTCAGGGGCCCTTTGCCAAGTTTGAGGTGAAAAACAGCCAGAACGCCGGGTCCTGGACAAGTGAGTGGTCGCGTGTTCTGACATGATGCGACGTTGCGCAGCGCGCTCACCTGTGAAAACTGCGCACGCAATCACTCATGTCGACACACACACACACACACACACACACACACACACACACACACACGCAAACACACACTCACTCACTCCCACATACACACACACACACATACACACAAAACACACACGCTGTACACAGAGCTGCAAGCTTCGCCGGACAGCCAGCACTTTGCGCTGACGACGGGTTATGGGCTGTCATTCATGATTGACGCGTTTTCGGGGGAGGAGGAGGCTGCGCTTGGCGACCGTGAGCTGGCGACAGCGGTGGATTTGTCCGCAGACTTCACCCCGTGTGGGCGGTTCTTTGCGACGGCAGGCAAGGGCGGCGTGATCGACATCTGGAACATTGCCGAGAAGAAGAAGGAGGCACACCTCACACGTGCGTTGATCGCTTGTTGTTGTTGTCAGTGATTAGCATGGTTTTGCTTGCACGTGCATGTGCACGTGTGAACGTGTGCATGTGCACGTGCGCCTGTCTGCCTGATTGTGGGGGCGTGCACGAGCTGGTCATTTACGTCTGCTGCCACACTTCAACCCCTCACCAATCCTCACCAATCCTCACCACTACCTCTACCGACCACCACCGCAGGCCACCACGACGATGTGTCGTGTGTTCGGTTCAACCCCAAGTACATGATGATGGCGTCCACGTGCTCCAACCTCTGTCTCTGGCTCCCTTCCCCGTCTTGACAGCGTCACTTGCGGATGCCTGCAAGAATTTTTTTTTCTTTTCGCTTGTCGCTCTCGTCGCCATGTACATCGTAGTTTGAACATACACCATTCCGGCCAAGCAAGACTGCCAAGCAAGATGGCACCTTCCCCCTCACCAAACACGCATGCACACACGCACACGCACGCACAACCAATACTGTGTGCTGTTACAACTGTTGTTTTAACTTTTGTGCTCGCTTCCAACAGCACCACAGCACCACACAGCACGTGCTGGTCGCGATAACAGGCGCGCCAACACGGACATGCGTGCACGTGGCACCGTGCGTGTGTGTGTGCGCGCGCGTGTGTGTGTGTGTTGGGAGGAGCGGTGTACAACATCAACACATCATCGTCATTCAACAACGGCAGCAGAGGAGAAGGGAAAGAAAGACAGCAGAAAGCACAACAAGTAGCAACGAAGAAAAGGCGAGGCGGAGAGCATGTTGTGCATGTGCGTTTGTGCGTTCTCATATGTGCGGGTGGTTGTGGGCATGTATGTGTGGTTGTGCACTTGGTTGTGGTTGTGTCTGTGTCTGTCTCATGTATGAGGGTAGGGCAAAGAAAGGAAGCAACTCAAGCATGATATGCATGCACGTGCGTGTATGCGAGTGCAATTTACCACGACTTCTTGAGGTCGAAGGTCCACTCCCACGCAAGATGTGTCTCGCCATCGTCATCGATGAACTTGCTCTTCACCTTGTAGTGGCCGCGGGCGAGCATGCCAGACGGCATCTGCATATGTGTGTATAAGTGTGTGTGTGTGTGTGTGTGTGTGTGTGTGTGTGTGTGTGTGTGTGTGTGTGTGTGTGTGTGTGTGTGTGTGTGTGTGTGTGTGTGTGTGAGTGAGTGAGTGAGTGAGTGATTGAGTGAGAGTGTGTGAGTGAGAGTGTGCAAGATATCAACACCATACCATCATTGAGCATGGAACAACAGTGAAGAAAGAGGAAACCCAGCACAGTGCCAAGTCAGCAGCGACGGGCAGACAGCAACAGCGCCTTCACAATACCGGCGCCACGCATGTACGCACCTCCTGCCAGGGAGTCATTGCAGTCTGAGTTTCCGGCTTGGGGCCGTAGCTGCCGAGCATGAAGTTGTTCCTCTCAACTACACGCACGCGCACGCACACGCACACACGCACACACACAAAGGAAGTAAACGAGTGAGCAGCATGGAGGACGTGTCGAGTGCTCTTTCGCCGTGCCAGCTTCAAGCGCATCTTCTCAAGCGACAAGACAGTACATGTGGTGGTGGTAACTCACCTCGGACGCCCTTGCGGTAGACGGCATCCACATACCGCAGGCCAGAAACGACCTCGTTCTGAATCCTGAATACACACACACACACACACACACACACACACACACACACACACACACACACACACACACAATGTATCCATCAGGGACGTGCACAGCTCACGAGCGCCATTGCAGACTCCTCTCCCAAAACATTTCCTCCCCGTCACCTTCGCTCTCTCTCCCATCCCGCTGTCTTTGCTTCGCACGCACTTGAAGTCAATCTTGATGCGGTACTGGCAACCCTCCTTGATGGTGAAGGACTTCTCCTTGAGCGTGGACAGGTCGCCCGTGAGGTCGAGCACGAGGTCCTCGTGGTCGTTTGTGTGGAAGATCATCGCCTGCACAATCACTTTCCTCGGGTCATCAGTGTCTTCACACACACACGGAGAAGAGGAAGAGGTGTGGTGGAGCGGCACACGGGTACGTGAGCTGGAACATGTACAAAGAAGCGGCCAGCTCGCAAACACAGATGCAGAGACATGCACGGAAAAGCTGCCAACACACAGGCACAAGCACACAGGCACAAAGCACAAGCAGACACAGACGTAAACACACAGACACAGACACACCCCACACACCCACACACACTCTCACTCACTCTTTGCTGTCTCTGCGCCCTGCAGCAGTGCCGCCTTCCAGCGGTTGAGGGCCTCGTCGTCCTTGTCCAGCTCCTGAAGCGTGCCAAGGTCAACCTTCTTTGGTGCCTGGTAGCCAGGCGTGTTCTCGACCTGAAACTCCTCGTCAGCCATTGTTGTTCTGGCGGTCTTCTCTCTCTCTCTGTCTGTGGTTGGAAATTGAACGCGTTGGTTGCGTGTGAATGTTTGCGTGTGAATGTTTGTGTGTGTGTGTGTGTGTGTGTGTGAGCACCAAAACCGTTGTCATTGCCGACCAAAATAAGGGAGGTACACCCACTTCCCTCTCCGTTTTCCCATCCTCCCCCTCCCCCTTCCTCGCACACACACACACCATCCAACATGCACGCATACCTGTTCTCCTTGTGCTGTGTGAGGTGGTGGGCGGTTATTGAATTGGTCGGTGGTGCCTTTTTTTGGCTTTGTGTTGCTGTGCTCTCTGTATCCGCCTGTCAGTTGTTTGGATTGCGCTCGAAGGAAAAAAATTCTTTTATTTTGGCCTCTTTTTTTGGCATAAAAAAGTGTGGGCGCAGCGTCAGCAGAAAAAGTGCTGACTGCCAAGAAGGAGAACGACAGCGGCAGAGATGAGCAGCAGCAGCGACGATGACCTCTACGCAGTGGAGGATGGTGTGTGCTTGTCGTGGGTGGTCATGTTCTGTGCGTTGTGCCCTGCGCTGTGCTGTGTGCGCTGCACTGCATTGTGTGCTGTGCGTTGTGTGCTGTGTGCCGCATTTTCCATCGCAGCCTCCCTCTCCCCCTCACATCTTCTCCCTCTCACTCACTCCCTCGCACGCTGGTTTGCAGATGCCACTGGCACCGCGCCAGAAGCCGCAGCCACTGGTGCTGGCGCCACAGACACCAAACAGGTTGGTGCACATGCTTCCCACCCAACACACGTGCTTGGCATTACGGTCCTGTCTCTGCTGCTCACATCCCACTCACATCACTCACATCACACACTTCATCACACACATCACTCACACTCACATCACTCACACTCACATCACTCACACTCACTCACACTCACACATGTTCCATGTGGCTCAGGTGGAGGACGATGACACCATCGACCTTACTCCCGCCGCCATTCCCGGTCACGAAGACGACGATGAAGACAGCAGGTCCGAGCACGTGTGCTTGTATGTGTGCGTTTGTGTGCGTCAACTTGTGTGTACACGGGACTGAAAGTGCGAGAATTCGCTCAGGTGTGTGCAGCATCTCCTCTTCCCCCCCCCCACCCGCTCTTCCAACACACACTCACCCACTCACTCACTCACACACACACACACTCACTCACTCACTCACACACACACACACACACACACACACTCGTGCAATCCGCACTGACTGCTTTGCCCATCTTGCTTGCTGTACTTGCAGTGATGAGGAGGTGTACGAAGACACGGCCAACGTGACCATCATCAAGGGCGGCACTGAGGAACCAGCCACGACTCAGGCATGGGGTGCCACAAAACCCGACCAACCAGCACAGCCTCAAGCACAGCAACAACAACAACAACAGCAGCAGCAGCAGCCGGCGCAGCCTTCGACGCAAGCATGTGAGTGTGTGAGTGTGTGAGTGTGTGAGTGTGTGCGTGCTTGTGCATGTGTTTTGTTGGACACTCCACGCCACCCATGAACAGGTTCCTTCGCTAACGCTCTGCTTTCGTCTTACTACTCCTGTGTACTTACTTTTGCTGGCTTGCTGTTTGTCTCTGGCACATAGCCGCGCCACAACCCATCCCGACAAAGCCCATTGGTGACGGCTACACGTCCCAGCGGCCTACCAAGAGGTTCAACCTCAACCCCACAGCAATGGTGAGTGAGAACCGCCTCCTGCACCCCCATCATGATGAGGAGTGCAAGGGTGAGCTGGTGGTGGTCGTGGTCGTTGTTGTTGTTGTTGTTGTTGTGCTCGTCGTCGTCATTGCCATGGTGCGACGTGTCACACCCACAACCGCCAAGTCACTCACACGTGCTACCTGCTGTGACTGCTGTGACGGCTGTGACGTTTGCACGTGTCCAGTACAAAGGCGTGAACATCCTCGATTTGCAGCTGGAGAGCTTGCCCGAGAAGCCATGGCGCGAACCAGGTGGGTGCAGTTCACTTGGTGTAGCAGACACGTGTATCTGTTCGCAGCTCCTCAATAACAGCAACAGCACCAACTTGCTGACACTGTACACTGTACACGTGTGTCATTCTTTGCACACCCTTACCTTCGCATCCACACACACACACACACACACACACACACACACACACACACACACACACACACACACACACACACACACACACACACACACACACACACTGACTGACCGTGTGGGTGCAGGCGCTGACATTTCCGACTACTTCAACTACGGGTTTGATGAGGAGACGTGGAAGGAGTACGCAAAGAAGCAAATTGAGATGCGCCAGGCAGCAGAGGCCATTCGTACGTTGTAGTTGCGTGTGTGCGTGTGCGTGCGTGCGTGCGTGTGTGTGTATGCGCGTGAACATTTTGTGGTGTGAGTTCCCTGTGCCAGCATATCACACTGACGTGTGCTCTCATGTGCATGCGGTGGATTATGACAGGCAACGGCAGCAAAGACCAGCAGCAACAGCAACGCTCACAACAGCAACAGCAGCAGCAGCAGCAGCAGCGGCAGCAGCAGCAACAAAACCCTGTGCCGCCACAAATGAGCATGCAAATGCCTCAAGGTGCGCGTGGGTGCCTGGGCGTGAGTTTGCGGTTGAATGCTTGCGGGTGGATCAATCACTTCTCACTCGTTCGATTGTGTGCGGTGCATCTTGCTGCCGTGCATGTGTGTGTGTGTGCATGTGTGTGTGTGTGTTGACAGGAATGTTTCCACCTGCTCCACCGCCACATATGATGCCGCCACACATGATGCAAGGGTACGGCCTGCAATGCGTCGTGGTTGTGTGTGTGTGTGTGTTTGTAGGAGTGTTCCTTGTGTTTATACATGTGTGCACGCGTGTTTGATGTCACTCAGCTCCTGGTAGTGCCATCAGCCCCCGTTCCCACCTCACCCACCAACGTAACAATGCGCGCGCGCGCGCGCGCGTGTGTGTGTGTGTGTGTGTGTGTGTGTGTGTGTGTGTGTGTGTGTGTGTGTGTGTGTGTGCACAGAGGAATGCCCTTCCGGCCCGGAATGCCGCCAAACATGCATCCGCCGCCACCCATGTACGTGCACAGCAATGTGTGCTTGTCTTCGTCTGATCCTAAATGCACTCGTCCCGCTGTGTTCCTGGCTACCCCACCCACACACACACACAATCGCTCACTCTCACACTTGCATATATTCTGATGTGCACATGCGCCACTGCTCACTCACGTGTGTTTGGTGGATGCAACCCCTTCTTCTTCCTCAACTCCTCTGCCCCTCAGGTCCATGGGCTACCGTAAGTCACGACGCAATTTGTTGCCGCTGCGCGGCTGCTTCCCACATACACATCCACAAAAAGCAAACGCACTGGAGCAGCTCTGTACCAAGCGTACATGCACTAATCCGTGCGTGTGTGTGCATGTGTGCATGTGTGCATGTGTGTGTGCACAGGGATGGATCGCCCGCCAATGCCGCCGCCGCCAGGAATGCCGCCATCGGCACCAGGGATGCGGTCAGTTGTGGCGCGAGCCGGCACACACACACACACACATACACACTACTACACACACACACTACTACACACAGACACACACACACTCACACACTCACACCATCACACGCACACACACACACACTACTACACACACACACACTCACACAGACACACACACAGACAGACAGACACACACACACACACACACCATCCCACCATCACACATTGACTCGCCTCTTCTCTCCCTCGCCCAACTGCTGTCTTCGCCAACTGGCTGCAGGCCGCCCCTGATACCTGGCGGCGCCGGCGGGGACATGGCACCAGAGAGCAGCGAATACGACCGGGAGCGCAGCGCCGGCAGCAGAGACACCGACAGAGACAGAGACAGGGACGGGTATGGGGAGCGAGACCACGACAGAGAGCGGCATGGCAGGGAGAGGGACAGGGAGCGTGAGTCAAGTAGCAGAGACAGACGTGACCGCGACCGTGACCGCGACCGTGATCGTGATCGTGAAGGATCTGAGCGCCGGCACCACCGCCACCGCCACGAGCGGGAGCACCGCGGCAGCAGCAGCAGCAGCGTCACTGCTGGGGGCGGCGGCGGTGGTGGTGGGGATGAAGGGCATCCATATGAGTACCAGCACGCGTACCCACACCCGCACCATCACCACCACCCGTCGCACCATCGCGGGGAGCGTGGGCGAGACCGCTCCTCGAGAGACCGCGACGACCGCGACGACCGCAGGCGCCCGGTGTGTGTGTGTGTGTGTGTGTGCGTGCGTGTGTGTGTGTGTGTGCGTGCGTGTGTGTGTGTGCGTGCGTGTGTGTGTGTCTGTCTGTCTGTATCCCTCTGTCTGTCTGTCTCTCTTCTCATCTCATCTCATCTCATCTCTTCTCATCTCATCTCATCTCATCTCATCTCATCTCATCTCATCTCATCTCATCTCATCTCATCTCTTCTCTTCTCTTCTCTTCTCTTCTCTTCTCTTCTCTCTCTCTCTCTCTCTCTCTCTCTCTCTC